AAAAAAWCCCTTGCTGAAATGAGCAGRATATGTGGGAGGATAAAGATGTGCAYTGCAGATCGTGGATCTCCTCGTGAGCTCTGCCTTCTCTGGGTTGTTCCTGCTGTCCAGCTGGGCAGTGCTGGTTAATTCTGGGAGTTCTTCTCRGAAGGAATCCATGTGTGGATGCAAACTGAGAAGTTGCTATATTTCTCTGTGATGTACATGAATTCTTTTCTTACTCAGAAGCCATGGCCATACTTGACTTTATTTGGAAGCAATCCCWGTGTTTCCTGTGGCCTAGAATCATTAAGGTTGGAAAAGACATCCAAGTCTTGTTGAGTCTGAGCTAGGGAAAGATTAATCTAAAAAAAACCTCCAGGCAACCTCCTCCTCATCCATACACCGTCTCTGCTGACAGCGAAATAACTGAAAACCCCACGAATCAGATTTATAAAGTTAAAGATTAGGAAAGCCATGGTTTTGGAACGGAGCAAGGACCCAGTTGAATACTTTTCCCCCTGCTGTGAACTTGCTGCATTTCCTATTCCTGCCTATTAAGCAGGCAGCTGACAGCTGCTGGCAAAGCTTGGGAATAGCAGAGGAGTGTAGCATGTCCGAGGGCTCTCCAGGCCTCTTTTGGGCAGCAGCAGCTCCTTAGGTGGGATATCCATAGGCCACAGATTGCTGCCAGAAATAGCACTGGGAATCTGCTCCTTTGGCTGGTGGAAATGYGGGTTTGCTCCGGTGGGAAGGGAGAACATTGGTGTCTGTCACACAGCAGGGTGGAAGCAGCCAGCCCAGCTTTTGGGACARCTCCTGGAAGATTTCTGTGTATTTTAATAACTCCATTGCTGTCTGTTAGCACCTAATGAGTGCAGAGCTTGCCATCTGTCCTTCCCTCAGCCACAGTGGGATCTGTGTCCTGATCCAGCGTGGACTGGGATTCCTGCAGGGAAAACTTATTAATTCCAATGTGCCAATGAGCTGCTTTTCAAATTAGGCTYAGACACAGTGACTCCTGTCCTGGTCCTTCACATGACCCACAACACGTGTCAAATGTCACMCAAAACCTTTTATGCCGTGCCTGCACTTGGAAAATTTAGGAATTCTGAGCACAGGGGCCTTTCCAAAGCGACAAAAGGCAGATGCTCCGGCTTCCCTCGGAGCTGCAAATCCCAAGCCTCACAGACAGGCAGGCCATTTCCGTCGGCAAATCCCCTCCCAGAAAGCTGCTGGTGCCATCTGGCAAAAAACAAGTCAGGGATCCGAGTGATTTTGTTCACGAAATCCGTGCGTGACGCAACGCGGCCTCGGAGCGTGCGGATTTTCCTGGAAACATCGGCACGGCCGCATGGGATTTTAATGAGATGTCGCTCGTTGMTGCTTGATTCATCCCTAAAAGGCTTTGAGAAAAGAATGTTTTCAGTTCTTAGGGTGTAATTTATGGTGAGTGTTCATGGGTTGCTCCCATTCCCCTCAGAGCCACTGCAAGAAGAGTTTCTTCAAGAAAATCCCACAAAAAGGAGCACAGGGAACTGTGGAACTTCACTGTAGTGAAAAACAGCCCATAAAATCAAAACCTAATTTTTATTTTATCAACCTAGAAAAAACTAAGCTGTGGAGTTTTCTAAACTTGGGTTTTGAGTCTTGAATTTATTAGCAAAGCATATGCAAGAAATGGACAAACGTAATTAAATTAATTTTTAAAGCAATTATTTCAAGCTTCTTGCAGCGGGCGAAGCAAATATTGGAAATACCATCTTTGCTGAGCACAAAGTTAATTTTTTAAGAGGTGCCAAAATGTTCTGATGACWTAGGGATATAAACTATGAGCAATCAAATTGTGTTTTGAAGGATATGTCAAATGKGTGCCTGTTTAYTRTKTTTTAATCTYTTGAYAGAATCYCTTTTCATCATMACCAGATACTGATATACAAAGAAAATATTAAAATGCATTAATATTATAATAGTGGCATGCTGGTATATAATTACATCAACATATTAGTATTAATTTATAATRTTTATTATGCTAAGTGTGTATTATATATTATGTGTTATGTATTATTAATGTTATTATATACTATATATTATCATAGATATTATCATATACTATATATATTACATACGATAATCTATAGCAACATATTATGCGCTTATGCTGTATTGCTACATTAATAACATATTAATATGCATTAATACCGCAAACATCTACCACCTCCACTCGACAACGCCCGCTACGTCTGTCCGCTACTTAGACGAGCAGAAATGCCTACAAAAGCGAGAAATCTTRTTACAACTTTCAGATCAAGGCCTGGAAAAATCAACTTTTATTAGTCAATAACGCCAAATCTCTTAATTCCGCTCGAATAAGGGTTTTTATTTCTGAGGGAGCCCACACGCGGGCGGTACCATCTGACGCGCCAGGCGCGGGGGTCGACGGCGGAGGCGGGGGGGGCGCGGTGCGGGGCTCCGCCCCGCCCCGCGACCCCCCCCGCCTCCCCCGCCGACCTGTTCCCCCCTCTCCACCGATGGTAGAGTCCACGGCGGGAAAGCCAGCGCCCGCCTCACACAATGCGCGCGCAGTTCGCGGCGCGGCCGCCGGCGGCGCTGTAGCGCCCGCCCGCCCTCCCCGCGGAGGTGCCCGGATGTGGCCGCGCCGGAAGAGAAGCGCGTCTCCTCAGGGCCCGCCATCTTGTGCGGCAGCGAGCAGGGCGCGGGGGGCCCGGTAGCATCCGCGCAGGATCCCGCCGACGGGGGCCCATCATGCCCGGACACCTGCAGGAGGGCTTCGGGTGCGTCGTCACCAACCGCTTCGATCAGCTCTTCGATGACGAGTCCGACCCCTTCGAGGTGCTGCGCGCGGCGGAGAGCCGGAGGAAGGAGAGCGGCGGCGGCGGCGGCGGGAGCCAAGCGGGCGGCGGGGCTCGCGGCCCGGCGGGCGCCCAGAGCGGTTCCTCGGGTGGGGCCGGCGGCGCGGGCCAGGCGGGCGGCGGCGCGGGCAGCGCGGCCAAGCAGCTGCGCAGGGAGTCGCAGAAGGAGCGCAAGAACCCGCTGCCGCCCTTCGCCGGCGGAGACCGCCGGGAGGATGGCGGGGGCCAGCCCGGAGCGCCGCTGCGGAAGGAGGGTGAGCGGGCCGGGGGTCGGCGGGGAGGGGGCGGCTCGGCCTTCACAAAGGGGGCCCGGGCAGGGCCGAGCCGCACGTGGGGCCGCGCATGGCGGAGCCCGCTCGGGGAGCCCGCTCGGGGCCGGTGGCGGGGCCGGTGGCGGCGGCCCCGGGCTCGTCCGGCCCCACGTGTCCCGCGCAAAATGGAGTCGGGCGTGCGGGGGGCGCCCGGAGCTTCCTCGGTGCTGGCGGGAGGGAGAGGTGTAAAGCGAAATAGGAAATCCCAGCAATGTAGCGAACTCGTTGTGGCTCGCGTTGGGAAGGATCTTAAAGGGCATCCCGTTCCATCTCCTGCTTGGGACAACTTCCACTGGCCCAGGGTGCTCCACGCTRCGTTCAGCCAGGCCTTGGACACTGCMRGGGAYCCAGRGGCAGCCACAGCTKCTCTGRGCACCCTGTGCCAGGGCCTTCCCACCCTYTCAGAGAATAAWTTTTTTTCARTATCCAATCTAAACCAGCACACAGACTCCTAGAATGGTTTAGATTGGAAAGGCCCATCACGTTCCCCCCCTGCCATGGGAGGGGACACCTTCCAGTATCCCGGGCTGCTCCAAGCCCCGTCCAACCTTGTATCCTGAACTTGACTCGTGTTTCAGGTGGTCCGATGGATTTGACAGGATATCTARAAGTCCCTGGGTTTTCCAAAATCCATTTGGGCCTTTTTTTTTAAGGAAAAGCGTCGATAGCAATCTTTTTGTTTTGATATGTATTTGCATAGTACCTTGTATAAATTCTTGGTTCCTGTAAATTTCTAAGACATCCTACACGGAAAGCTTTAGAAAAAAAGAAACCCAAGTATAAATAGATTAAAGGAACATGTTCTGGGAATTAGTAGGCCACGGGCCCACATGGATAGGGATAGATGTGGGCACATGGCGTCCCGTGCAGGCAGCTCCACCGCGCCCCAACTTCAGCGCTCGGCAGGTGGGTTAAAAGGAATCCTAGGAAAACATCGAAGTGTGGTGACAGCAGGTGACGTGGGAGCAAAGGAATTACAGGTTAACTGCAATTTAAACAAGTTTTTCAGAGGGCACCGTGCTGCGTGGAAGCATCCTAATGCTTCAGCATTTCTGTTACTAAGTGGTTCTGATTCTCCACTGTGTTTTATGATCCTAAGGAAATAATTTTAATATATTATTTGTTTTGGAAAATGGGTCTTATAATTGTGAAGACAGATTTAGGAACTAAATTTGCAAATAATCTTTGTTTATGGATCTCTTGCACTTTAAGGCTCGGGAATGTTTTCCGTCTGAGGGATGCAATGATTTGTCCCGAGTCCTAATCTTCTAAACCCGTGTGCTCTGGAAACCTCAGTCAGGTGTAGGATTCTGGGGGTGTCCTCCAGGAAGAACAGCTGGAACACAGCAGTGTCTTTGGCACCATAGAAGGGGTTTGAGCAGAGCTGGCAGCCCTTTTCCACCTCTTGCTTTTCACATTTTGTTTTCAAGAGCAGTGTGAAAAATTAAGTATTTTCGTTTGTTATGGTAGTGAAACAGAGAAAGTCGGGGCTGCTGTTGTAGCGGTGTCGTAAACAAATCACTTTCCAGTTTGAAAACGTCTATTTCTGTGCGTGGCTGTTTTTGCAGTTCTGGCATCATAAAGGTGCTGGATGCCAGGGTTTGTTTCCTGTGCAAATGTATTTTAAGCTATTCCACTACTCCATAAAGCTGCAAGTGATTTGCCTGCTGAATTAGCAGTTCAAAGCTTGGTGATGCTAAGAAATAACTCGTATTTTGGGTTAGGCTTCAGCAGGAACCGGGTTTTTCTGAGTGCAGGGCGTTGAACTCAAAATTCAAAAGCCGTGGCTGTTCCATTCCAGTTCTGCAGCATGCCTGCTCCTCTCATGGAATGCCTGTCTTCATTGGAGAGCCCTTCTCCATGTGCAGGCTGCCGAGTTTAACCCCTTGWTTCCCCAGGGAATCAGGAATACTTAGGGAGCTATGTGTGCCATGCAAACTCYATGTTAAACACAGCTTGTAAGGTGAGGGAGACATTGTTCATCTGGGCGTGTTGGCGTGGATATCATTACAACTGCAACTTCTGGGGCCCCACCCAAATTTGACATTGCTTGCTAGGCAGRAACTCGGTTCTTTAAAAAAATTGAAATATCAGCTTTTAATTTAAAAGCTGGTTCGTTAATTTTGGAGCCRGTGTTTTGGCAAGAAAATGGAGTTRCAAAGCAACAATGTATTTGTCCAGATCTTTCTAAAGAAAAGTAAACAAGGCCTTTCACATGAGTGGAAAAGAAAACTCTTGTTAGATCCTTCAGAGTGCTTAGTAAAGWAGAGAATGCCCACGGGAGGTTTTTATTTGCAATAAAAACCCTTTTCAGAGGCCTAGGCAGGGAGGAAGAATGCCGGGCAGCTCGGTGGCACTGTGGATTCTTCAGCTATTTTAAGAAGTGCACAAGAAGGAGAATGTTTGTCAGGGAATGTGTGATGGACTGGGGATGAGGACAGCAGTTAGTCACTGACCAGTACCTGTRGGTGACACCTCTCAGGTACAGGTGGGGTACTGCTGCCCAGAAGAGTTTCCAAGAACAGAATCAYGGGATCATTTAGKTTGGAAAACASCTGYAAGATCACTAACTGTTMGGACAGMAATTTTAGGGACCACAGGATTGACTGTTTTAGGACCCAGTGAGGTGATGCTCACTTCATTTGTGTGTTCTTTAAATAAAACCCCCTTGTTTTACCCAAAAAGCACCTTTTAGAGAAAATAACTTAACAATAAATTACCTTGATCCTTGTTGGAAAGTTGGCCCTGTTATTTCAGCAGGGATTACTAAAAGTTTTGAAAATCCTGGGTAAAAATGTGTCTGAGAAGGGTCAGGTGAAGGTAGAATTGCTCAGATTACACAGAAATAAAACTTTTATTCCCGCTTGTTTCCCTGGGGGGTCAGTATCTGTCCCGGAGCACTCCACATTCCGTTGATGTGTCTGGCCTGATGTTTCAGGGATAAGGAGGATTGGCAGGAGGCCTGATCAGCAGCAGCAGCAACAGCAGCAGGGCGAAGGCAAACCCATCGACAGGAGACCCGAGCGACGACCTCCCCGCGAGCGCCGCTTCGACAAACCCGCCGAGGAGAAGGGCGAGGGAGGAGAGTTCTCTGTGGATAAGTAAGAGTTTTGTCTTGGTGATAAAAAGCTTTCCTAGCTTTGACAGGACAGGGTTGTCCTGCTTTCTGCTGCTCAGGTAAAAAAGCTGATTGAATCAAGATGAAATGCTTGTCATGCAGACTGTAACACTTTTCCATGGTTTTGTTTGCAAACTCAAAGTTTTAGGCTGAGATTGATCTACATGAACACGTTCATAGGTGTAACTGAAATTATGGTTTAAATTAGGATATTCACCATATTTCTCTGAATCTATAGCAGATAGCACAGGAAGAAAGCCCAAGTGTAGCTGTTTGTTGCAGGATGAGATTTGTTGCTGTCACAGCTGTGGCTTTAATCTGGACAGCTGACTTAAAGCCAGCAAAACTTTGTCCGTGTAGGTGTTTACACCTTGGCTGCAGTAGCTTCAGACGTGGAAGTGGTGAAGCCATGTCAGAGCTACGTGAAATTTAAACTGTCTTGAGGATTGTGAGGCAKCCAGAATTCAAGTAATGTTTTAATATTAAAATTTTAATAGCCGAAGTTGAAAATCTTTCAAAATTAAGTTGGATAAAAGTTGAAATTGTATCAGTTAATTATGCAACACAACACAAACACTAAATTTTGCAGCTAATGCTAGTAGATGCAAACAAACAATGATCCTGAGCATTTGTTTTTAGATTTTAAAGTCATGGAATCACAGAATGGTTTGAGTAGGAAGGGACCTTAAAGGAGATCTGGTTCCACCCCATGCCATGGGCAGGGAAGCCTTCTACCAGACCAGAGTGCTCCAAGCCCTTTCATTCTGGCTTTGGACACTTTCAGGGATGGGGGAGTGGCTTTTTTGAAATTAGAGCCTTGATCCAGCTCCAAACAAATTATCAGAGGTAAAATAAGTAAATTAAGTTCTCAGGAACAGAACTGTGAAACATGCTGTATATTTTTGGAGGTGAATCACTTGACCCAGCTAATTCTCAAAAGAAAACCAAGTAAATAAAATCCTCAGAGAGGACAAGAACCATGAAATGCTGTCTGTTTTTGGAGTGAATCCCTRACCTGTGGCTGTTCATACCAGACCCATCCTGGACCGACCCATGCGTGGACGTGGAGGACTGGGCCGGGGCCGTGGCCGCGGGCGCGGGATGGGCCGAGGAGATGGGTTTGACTCTCGTGGCAAACGGGAATTTGACAGACATAGTGGCAGCGATAGATCGTAAGTCTTTACCTTTTCYTATTCCTTTTGGGTCTTCTATACCACTCCTGACCCCCTTGATTATTGATCTTTTGAATTTCTGTGTCTGGACACTATAATGTTAACTCAGTTTTGTTAGTTCTGTTTCACATTCACATTTCAGCGGCCTAAAGCACGAGGACAAGCGCGGTGGCAGCGGATCACACAACTGGGGAACCGTCAAAGATGAGCTAACGTTAGTAATCTGTCCTTGTTCAGAAAACTATTAGCACTATGTTAATTAGCCCTAATTATGGCTTGCAGAACATGCAGATTTAGCTGCTTTTTTGCCTTTGATCTCCATKATTTTTGGCATGCTTTTGCAGAGTTTAAAACCCGAGCGATTTCTTGTAACATAAGAAAGGTTTCGCTTTTAAACCAGGATTTTTGGGAAGTTTGGGAGGTCTTTGCTGCTTTTGGAACAATTCATTGTTAAAATGAAAACKGTTCTATTTTTAGTAAGTTTAAATCAGGTTAAGTACGTGTTTTATATTAGAAAAATCCAGCTATTCCATTGAAATCTATTTTTAATGCCCAAATCCATTTTGTGGTGGAAGGGACARCAGGAGCCTTTCAGGAGGGGTAGCAGGAAGCGTTGGGGACAACCATTAGTTAAGTGAAAAGCATAGAACTTAAAAGGCACAGAGAGCACCAATCCTTCTTGAAACAGCAAATCCAGTGTAGATCTTGATTGTTAATCTTACGTAGCTTTAAAGAGGGATGAAGTTGTAAAAAAGGCCCAACTTCCCAACGTTATGTAATTGCAGTGAATTGGATCAGTCAGCTGTAACTGAGGAAACGCCGGAGGGAGAGGAGCATCCGCCTGCTGATTCTGAAAATAAGTGAGTACCACCCCTCTCCATGCTCCTGGCTTGCTTCAGAGGTGCTRTTGCATTACCTTTCACCTCTGCTATTTATTCCAACATCTGTTTTGCCAAACTCAGATTATCAGTAGATTATCCACAGTGCTGATGAATTATAGGCTCCTTAAAAATGGCATATCTGGAAATTGTTGTCTTTAGACCATTCCTTGGTGTCCTGTAKACATTTCCAGCTTTATTTATTAATAATTTATAATACACTTTGRGTCTTGAGATTGCAACTCCTAATCTCAAAAGATCTGTGCTCAGAACTGGAGAGTAACACCAAGCAAAAATGACAGAAATGCCAGTGGAAGGCAACTTTTTAAACTCCAGAGCAGCCTTGGAGATTGTGTGAGGGAGCTGCAGGAGAAAGGTTGTATCTTTCWTTCTCCAGGCAGTTTTCAAAGTTACCTGGATCTCTTCCCATTTCACTTGGACACTGTTGCAGAAGGAGCCAGGGGCTAGATGAATGAAAGAGTAACCAGAGAAGCAGAATAAGCCTTACTGATACCGAATTGATTTAAAAATATGATACAAATTTTCATGGTAGCCTAGTATGACAAAGTGTTGTATTTTAAAGAGTGGGCTTTATAGAGAATTCAGAAAAAAAGGCAAACAGAATTTTGAAATACTTGTTRGCACAAGATTCCTAATGGGATGTTTGCTACAGCTTGATTCCCTCACTCGTAACTTTGTCTTTATAGGAAGATTTTATAGTAAAACTGCTTTGAATAATTGTCTTTGGTTCAATAAAAAAGCAAATTATCCAAAGCAGCTTAAATTTTGGTTTTGAAAATATTAAAAAGCATGAAAACTGTGGGAAGAACAAGTTCTCACTGCCTTAACTTGAATGTTTATGAGAGATGTRTTTCAAAAATAGGGGGAAGAAGTGCCAGACAAGTCATGACAGAAGTTAGGCTTTCGTGTTTGGAAATAAAATTGACAGTAATCTGGGGAATTGATGGCATGGGTCAATTATAATTTTAACGTTTTGCTATGCTAAAGAGGTGTCTGGGTGTGATTTTTTTTTTTTTTTTTTTTTTTTTTTTTTTTTTTTTTTTTTTTTTTTTTTTTTTTTTTTTTTGGCACTCCCTCTGAACGAGATGGATTTTCCTGTGGTGGAAATGAGTTTATATTTTCACCTCTTAACTGCTGAATCTTTGACAAACTTTAATTTATAACCTAGTGCCAACTAGCAGATGATTTTGAACTTGTATCTAGAGTGTAAATTCTAAATTRTGATGATAACCTCCATGAATTCACTACAGAGAGAATGAGGTTGAAGAGGTTAAGGAAGAAGGCCCTAAGGAAATGACCCTGGATGAGTGGAAAGCCATTCAAAGTAAGGATCGTGCAAAAGTCGAGTTCAACATCCGCAAACCAAACGAGGGAGCTGATGGGCAATGGAAAAAAGGATTTGTGCTCCACAAGTCAAAGAGTGAGGAGGTAAAGTGCCTTCCCATCCTTGGAGTGTCTGCTTTTAAAGGTTTTGTTATTGATGAACATCTTTTGGAGTGGAAGCTCCATTCTGGGAGATGCTGAGTTGTTGTTGGAAGTTTAAAAAGTGGGAACAACTTTTTGTTTAATTTGAAGTTCATTTGAACTGCATTCTTTTAGCAAAGTTGAACTTCTGCAGTAGCACAAGTGGCCATTCTGACTGTGGTTGGGTTTGGGAGCTGAGCTATACCTTTAGGTTTGGAAAAGCTGCCTGTTGGTGAGAATTTCAGGGAAAGATTGTCAAGTTTACTTTTAAAAAAGGAAACTTATGYTATTTAGCATCTGTTCTGCAGTACACAGATTTATGGTGCTTGCTGAATGATGTCAGCTTGAAGGAAGACTGGTCATGCCTCAGAGACCTTAAACCTCAACTCTGCATCTTAAATTTGTGWCGTGGGTGTGTTCTCAGTGCTGTTACATAGCCAAGCTCTTGGGARAGCAGTTGAAATACATTTGTGTGCTCCAGTGACACTCAGCATCGTTGCTGTAGAATTGTTTTAAATTTGTAGTTTCTCATTTCAGGCATTACRTAATGTTAATTATTCTGTTCCAAGAGTGGCAAGGGGAGATGCACAAGGGAGGGAAGTGCTGAGAGCTGTTTTGTAATGCCAGGGCTGTGCTAATCTGTAGTTTTAATCTTTGTTTTTAACACTCTGTAATATGTTAAGTAGCTCACTTAAGAGATTGGTGGCTGCAACTTTGTGTACTGATGGTGCTGAGTCCTTTGAAGTAACTGGACAGTGTGTAATAATAYTCTGTTTGCTCTCCTAAAATGTATTCATGCTTTTTCACACCTTGCCAGTTTTATCCTGGGAGCTGAGATAAAACACAGAATGGGGGGCACTGCTTAGTTTTCCTATGAAAATTCCATTTCTGACGTGGTCATAAAATGGGCTGTTTTCTTGCTGTGTGGGGTRGTTCAGTTCTTGGAATGATTGCATGGCTGTGTTTCCTTTGAGCTGTTCAAAATGTTCATTCAATGCTGCTTTCTCTGGCTTKGGTAGAAAAGGGAATTTGAGTTAATGTTGCTGTGTGCTGAAAGAATGTATTAAACAGAAATATTTATGTACTTTAGCAAGATTTAGTAAACCTGTAGCTTTTTAAATTCCCTCAATCTCTCTGAATCAGATTTATTTGACATTTTCTCAGCTCAGGGCATCTTTTTTTAACATAGGAGCATGTGTGACAGTAAAGGTGATGCTACTTGTGAGTAATTTAGAGGCTGGAAAGATCCAGACTGTATTTCTCTTTTTAAAACTAAAGCAGTGGTTAAGTTAAAAGAAGAACAACCCAATGAACAAACAAAAGAATCTAAACAAAAACTGTGAATAATAAAATTACTGCCATGGAAGACCTGACATAATTAGTAGATTGTTCTGTTTAAGAGGTTAACTTCTCAAATAAACAAGTTGGATATTTTTAGCACCATCACATAAGAAGGTAACAGCCYCTTGCTGCGTAAGCATGAAAGTGAGGTATTAACAAATCTGCCTTTAAATTGAGCTGCTTTTAGCCTGCTTTATTGTACATCCAGCAGATGTGTCTCCCCATCTCCCTTCTTCATTGTTCCTGATCCCATGGGAAGCAGTGTGGGGATTTTCTCTCAGGATTATAGGAGAATGGCTCTATAATACAGGCGTTAGGAAAGCTTCCACTGCAGCTCCTTTGTGAGCAGCTTTAGAAGGCAAAATATTTTGAAAAACCACCAATCACCTGCTGTTTYCTCTCTTTGTCCTCTTGGATATACTTAGGAATCAAGAAATTCATGTTTCTTACTGGCAAGAAGTGAGATGATGTGTGGAAGTGATTTGGTTCGTAGGCAAGTTCTGGTTTTCAGCCCCACATCTTCTGTGCTCTTACGGCTGAAAAATGCCACGTKCCCCAATAGATCTCAGAAATTTGAAGTATTGTGATGAACACCTGCATTCCTGTAGCTTGAGAACTCCCTAGGGGTCTGGGAAGAGGGAGTATGAGGATCTAATGCTGTTCATCTGCCTCTGTCAGGACAAAGAGCTGTCCTCCTTGTCCTCCTCACCTCTAGGGGTGAAATGCTTGCTCTGTCTGCAGTCTTTCATCTTTTTCACATTTGCTCTGCAGGTACTGGCAAGTGATACTTTGGATAAAATGAACTCTCAATTCTGTCTCTGATTCTTGCTGATTTAATCTGAAGTCCAGAAGCATTGACAGCCCTGGTTCAGTGAGCATCTTTCCAGGACATGGGATTATGCCATAAAACAGAGATCCTCTTTTTGCTTTCTCTGCAGCTGGTTTAGTGGTTTGAGTCTTCAATTTCTACAGAAAAACCAGGAAGGAGTTATATTGTGGACAGGTCTTAAMATTTATTCCAAAAGTGGAATGCAGGACTCCTGCAAAAACTGAAACCCAGTAGATCTCTGTGCCTGCTGTGCCTCTTCAAACCTCCTCACTAATCCGATCCCTTCCTTAGAGGAGGTTGCAGTGGGAGATTAGGAAATAAATTTTGGAAAAGAATAATTCATCTTCTCACAATTGGGAGGAATGACTCTTGCATGGAGGCTCTGCAGGAAGATTTCCATGAACAATGACTTTAACATCCCAGCTCTTCCCTGCCCATCTCCATGCCTGACTTGTGGCCGTGCTGGAGACCAGTCTGCATGTGTGGTTTCTGCTAGGGCTTCCAGCAACTCCTGGGCAGCTTTTTGGTGTCCCA